AATCGGTAAGAAATATACAAATATTCTCCCGTACAACGCACCGCCCCGCCCCTTGTCGCATCGATTCGCCACGGTTGTGTTTCAATTCTGCTAATCCCAACATGCGTGCAATTAATAAAGATACAACGTGTTAACTTGGATGGCCTAGGTATACATATAGTTTTCCGATACAAGATGTACATCATGCCCAGATCGATAATTTCGTGTTCGCTACCAAACGACCAAACCGTCATAAATGTATGCATATATTCTTCGCCCTCAATTTGTCAAAAGAAAAGCTGATCGGAAGCTATACATGTACAATACGTACATACCTACATATGTAACCATTTAGAAGCACCGACGCTACGTATACGAGACGTACACTTGGCTGTACAACAACACCCAATTGCAGTGAGTTCTCGCCTAGAAAACAAGATACTACCGAGACATCTTTCTGTCATTGTCTAATTTATAATCAAACTTGGATCACCAGTAAAAAAAGAGTACTGTAGCCCACCCATGTTATACGTATAGCCGTAGGCGATGTAGGTATACATACTGTCTACATTTGCATAATGTAAGATAGTAAACTGACCCAGGTTCGAAAGTTCTATTTTTTCAAAACAGTCTTTAAGTATTAACAAATGTGTCATTCCTCAAGAATATTTACAATATTTACGTCACGCTTGCGAATCGACTGTAGGAACGAATTAGTTTGGTGACCACAAGTTACAACTAATTACGTACATATTTATGTTCATAGTAAAACAAATAGAAGGGTTAGCATACGTCGCTGAGAATCTATTCGCGTTTCGGGTTATGGTTACGATTTTTCATGTTATTGCCTACAGAAGCGAATAAATTTAGTCACTTGGTGGACAATAAATGGAGTTGCGGAAAGAAACACGAGGATCAAAGGAAAAAGGAAAAAGCATTTCTACTTGTCGATTTCCTAAGTATGATATATCACTGACAGAATAAACAATAGCATCTGCGGATGCTTCTCCTTATAGTCTGAATCCAATGACCGGTTTCTTTCTCTGCAAGTGACTGTGATTGAATAATTGTTCAGTGATCTCTTTGCGATACAAGATGCAAGTGCATACATATATACATATACAGTATCTATATGTGTATGTATGTATACATGTGACACTAGCTAGACACACATTACGCGTTAGAAAAGCGGTTATGAGACTCTTCTCTCTCAAGAGGATACTTGATAGGGTATTAGGTGAACGAAGATTGGGTTTAGATGAAAGAGATTGACTAGACAAGTAGTATAATTAGCAGATAAATTGTCGGTCACATCAATCACACGAACGTTGCAAAGTATAAAAGAAAACGTCTAAAAACAAGGATATTGCCCAATGCACGATGCATCGTCTCCTCTAACGAAAAGCAGGGTTATCTAACTGGTTGATGCAATTCGCGATATCGAATAAAAAAAACAAAAGTTTAATTTAAATACCTGCGTTCCCACGGAAAAAGAACACCTTTTACCTTCGCATTCCACGGATAACTGGCGAGTGATACGAGCATCGAGAAAGGACATTAGCGCCTGCGCTTTTCTATCGAAGGGCCTGAGCTGGCCTGAGCTGGCCTGAGCTGTCAAAGTAGCAACAGCAGCAGCAGCAGCAGCAGCAGCACTATCGCAACCGACCCTTATCTCATTCTCTCTGCTCCTATCATTTATCTCTTTCTCTTCTCGTGTCGCTCGTCTCTTGCGAGAGGATGCCAAATTCACCCTACTTTCTATTCCGTGTGTTTGAATACACATCGTACACACTTCTCTGCTGCATTGTCGCTATCACCGTAAACCCGTGTTACGCTTACATAAATATACATACATGATAAATATTGTTCGTGGAAAGCAACGAATAACGGTAAACGAAACACGTATGAATATCTTGCAAACCCTCTTGTTATTATTTACAGTTTAATCCGGATCATGTGCGGCGGCGGCTGAACAAGATTGTTCAATCGAATGGACGCTGGTCAAGAAAAAGTCCTCCGTGAATCGATCGATTTGTTCTATCGTACTTGTGCACTTGCTCACGATGCAGAGCAAAATTTATTTACATAAAAACCTGCAAAGACTCTCAAGTATAAGCCTGGTATTGAACGTATAGCCAAATTAACCAAGTTTTATAGAACAAAGTATCGACGGATGTCATAATTGCAAATTACCGAACCTTCGGTACCTCTAAAACACCTGCGTAGATACACAAATTATTCTCTATACGTTATTACCGTTCACCTTGTTCACAGCTTTTGTCCTACATTTTACCTTTCAGAATTTGACTTTTCACTTTTCAGTGCCGTTAGCCTTGTCATCTTTTATTCTCATACTATTTTGTTCTCCGTAAAACTGTAAAGTATCGGTTGTAACATGTGTATCTAATAATAAGAATGGACATATACATATATTATATTATATGTATACACACACACACACACACACACTTATGTTTTATACAAATCGACGATGTTGCTGTGCTATTGCTGCCTAAACCATTTAACGCGTTTTAAACGTATGTGCCCGGGTTGACTAGTAATTCTTACCAGTTGATCGACCGGTTTGTCAAACTGCACGTCTATCGATCCAGACTGTATCCATGTGGCTTCTCGTATATTTCATCTAGGTATGCGTTTGCAGTCAAACATTTTCAGATGCACGATACAATTTCACGGGGACAGAGTTCTTAAACAGTCATGGTGGATAGGTAACATTTCACAGGAAAATAAGAACAATTTTCAAATTGTTCGTCGTGCAAATAGCACGTATTTGTGTACTTGGAAAATTTATTACTCGAGTAATACGAGAAAAAGGGGGCAAAGTAGAAAATATTATATAGATATACATATATTCGTAAATGTGTTTCTCTCACCTTGACCAGTTTTGTCTTCAAAGAGACTGTGAAGCAACGATTCAATGATACACTGCGACGACACTGTGAAACAACAAATATGTACACGGCGGAACATAAGACTATTTAGGTTCATACGCATCTTTTTGTTTTTTTCTGTACATGAATGTGTATTTCGTCATATTCAAAATATAATCATAAACGTTACACACAGTGTAGCTTTTACTTATGGGTCACAATATTTGATCCGTGGTTTCAATGAAATGAGAACGCTCGCTTTACCGCTTTAGACCGCTGACTTTTGTTTATAAATGAAGCACAGTCGGTTTGCATTTAAAATATTTTTGATAAAGCTCGATCGTTTCATTTTCTTACAAAAACGAATCTTTACCAACCGTGACAGAAAAACTCTGTACGTTACTTTTCGGCTATAACGTCTGCTCGTAGATCGTAGATTTTGCCAGCTAGGAACGGTGAGAAACGAACGGACTGCGTGATCACGAGTAACGCGGTTCTTTTTATTCATAAATTTATGTATCGAATCATCACCATACGATCGATGAACGCTTTCCTCGCGTATCCTCGATTGCTGAGGCTCGTAACGGCCAAGTTAGTTTTCTTAAACGCTACTAGTTTCATTTCAAATCGTACCATATTTGTCTTCGAAATCGTCTGTCTTTCTATTATAGTTGCAATCATCGTCGTGATCGTCGTTGTTGCGTTAACATCACAATAGTAAACCAAAAAATAAAGTATTGCAAACATACGCAGGATGTAGACGCGTGCACAATATTTGTGGTCATCCTTTTGCACACACTCGAGCTTGGCAACTCGCACTCATCATACAAAATGTACAAAAGCACTCGCGTACACATACATAATTACAATACATAATATAGTGTTAGGTTCTTCGTGGTCAATTACGATTATTATGGATACTCGATTCATTTTCATTTTCCTGTTCCCTTGGATACTGACTCGGAGAAAAGCGATGCCTCGGGAAACATTCACCTCGCTATTACTCGACCGGCGGGAACGTCGATTTCGACAAAATTACAACGTGCATGGTATTTATTTTTAATTTCAAGTCCCGTAATATAGATATCAGTACTCGTTTCGTATGGAAAAATATCATTTCTCCACTAGGTACGACCTGATGGAATCGCATGAACAATCGAATGTTTCTGCTTAACGAGTAACGTTCGCGGAAACGCACGAAAATATAGCCTTGCAGCTATATATCATATATTAGGAAAAAATTCTGTTGGACAGTTCACATGGTAATCCTATCATTGTTCTTAAATGTACAATCAGGAATGAAGTGAAGTGTACAAATGCAGAGGCCGTGGGAGCATATAGAGGAAACAATGACCGACAATGTGGCAAGAGAATCTCCAGAGGAGAAACAAGATGAAGAATGTTAGAACGAATGCTAATCGAATTGGGAACGATAGTTTTATGCGTATAAAAATAAAAATTTATCTCTGTATTAAAAATCTCCCTATCTTACGGATTAGTAGACCAATCCATCATCGTACACGTACAACAAATATTATAAATCTAACGAGGTTAATGGACATATCTTATTTTACGTAAAATTCAGCACATGATTGTGCGTTTTAGAAATAATAAAACAGAACTATAAATGCGATTCAGGCATAACCGTTGTAAAGTTGAGTTTTCAAAGTGATTATTTCATCGTCCACTAATATCTCGATACTGGGCTCAGGTCAGTGTCGCGGGTTTCTCATCATAATTCTAGCGCAGTAATACCTCCGTACTGTTTTCTTTACATCAATCGATAGTTAGCGGAGAACCTCACGCGCTTTAAGAAACAGTCTTTATACAATGCTTAAATTCTTATATACAATGTGTAGTTAGTTAAAAGATAAAAAGCACGACCTTGTTGTCATTTTTACGCGTTAGACGAACCTAATTTATAATCATAGAATTATGTCAATTTCACCCAAGATTAATCGAAACTGGTCTTGACTGGTTACACCACACCTTGATTATACATATATGTATATATGTATACACAAAAGCTGCGCGTGCTTGATAGCCTGTTCATTGACAGCACATCTTATAGTATGTACTTCGTAAAATCTCATTTGCACAGACAATTATCGTTGCATCATTTTTCGCGTACTCAAATATAAATTAACCTTCTCGAGTGATTTCACAGTGTGACAAAGAACAGTCCGATGTCATTTCAGCATTTACAGCTACATAAAAAATGCAAGTGCAATTATAAATATAAACTCATAGGATAGAAACATTGCTGTACAAAAGTCTTGGTACTCGCATGAAACCGACGGGTCTAATACCTAAAATCTAAATACGTCCTTATATGTATATACGAGAGGGGGTTAAACTGCAAAGAAGGTAGAAAAGAAAGTCTGAAAGCACACGTTATCACAAAACAGTAGAAGAAAATGAACTTCGAGACAGGAGGAACTCGAAAAATGTGAATTAAGAGGGAACAGGGTAAAAGAAAAGTGATATTCCAGAAATCTGTCGGAAATAAGAAATGAAGAAGAATGGAAGAGAAAGAAAAATATGATCCGACACGTGCTCTATCAACCACGCAGTCGAGCAACGCAATTTTGTTCAACAATTCCGCATCACTGAACTCGAAAGGACTGTTAATCGTGGTTATGTCCCCTTAAAAAGAGCGCACGATCGGAAGGATTTATACCAGCCTTCTTTTACTCCTTTCATACAAGAGTTTAAAGGAACGGTAATACTGGGAGCATCGCTTTTGCTTCAGTTGAAATACACATATCATCTCAACAGATACTTATAAGCTGCACAATTTCCCACGATTAGAATAAATAATATTTTGGACACAGGAAGAAGGGACGCTAAACTGGACGCTGCCTTCGTTAAATCCTCACAAACACCTGTAACGAGGAAGTGACAATGATTACGCGTACGTAAAGCGAAACCAAACACGCTAAAACGAATGCTTTTTGTATAAATTTTTATATATAAGGGAATAAATGTAAAATCACGAATGAAAAAAATAGAAATTAGAAGAAACAACAACTGTACTTTGGTCGTTGGAAATACCTTGGCTGATAAGAGTATGCGTCCATTCGTTCTCAACTGGTTCTCTGCGACACACACGATCCAATCTCCCAACCCAAAATTCTTGTTCGGGATGTTTAGTTTTAATAGTTCTTCCCGTCACAGATAGTTTGCCTGTGTTTCCATCGAACCGCATAGACAAACAAAAAGTTTGACCCAATGCGGCAGAAGCCTGATTAGTTTTCCGCGACACTATCGTGTACCAAACACCTCTGTCTTCCCAACTTCCGTGACAGTAATAAACTGCCAAAAAAATTATTCACACAATAGTATACTTGACCAAGTTGATTAAATCAGAATTCTAACACTATACACATAACGAAGATTCCACTTACTTGTTTCTTCCTTGTCACATGTTTTTCTGATTACTACCTCATTCTGATCTATCGAAGTACATCCTATTTCAACAGTAGTGCCTCTACATTCGTGTCCATGATGTTCCTGTTGTTGCTGCTGCTGTTGTTGTTGTTGTTGTTGTTGTTGCTGCTGCTGCTGCTCAACTCCGTGTTGATGATGGTGGTGGTGATGATGGTGTAGCTGTTGTAGCTGTTGTTGTTGCCGTTGTTGGTGCTCGTGTGACTTTGTCTGCTGTGCGTCTTCGTTCCACGTTCTCCTTTTAGTAAGCCGGGAAGGGCGTTTCTCGCTACGACGTTGTCGACGGAAAGACGTACCAGACAAGTGAAATGGAGTAAATTCCAGTATCGTGTATCTTCCGTGATTCGGACATTTCCTTTGACGCAACGACGACGAGCCTGCGCGACGATAGATTGATTAATTCTTTGATTTAGTTGTATGATCTTCGCACAAAGCACAACTTTTGCTACTCCCCAAGATTCTTATAGGGCATGTAGCTGTTGTATGTATTACTCACTGATCAGCGTGGTGTATGGCATTGTGGATATATCCGAAAGAGAACACGCTTCGTCTGGCATTATAACCTTTTGATCTACGAACGATTATTGTTATTTAGAAACGTGTACATATACACATGTATATAGAAGTATTTAAAGAGAGAAAAAACGAAGCAGTTACCCGATTGCTGTAACTCTATAATATGGTGATCCCTTTTGTGAAATATCATGCAAACGTAACCAATATCGCTGCAACGATACCGAATTTTCATTACACTTCGCTCAAACATCTTCTGTTCTTACTTTAACACGTATTAGTACTTACCAGCCGCTAGTCACGTGTGCAATTAACTTTACTTTGTATGTTTGCGCACTGTCGGTGGAATGTAGTTTCTCCACACTATGACAAACAATTTTCTCCTCGTGGAACACATCTCCTTCGTTATTTTGAACACGAACTTTCAGTGTTGCATTTTTATTCGTGAAGTGATAAACCTTAGAGCCATCCAAAGAATGCCAATCGTGATGTTCAGTGATCCATGAAGGGTATTTACATCTGTTGTGCTCCTTGTCGACTATCGACGAACGACAGAAAAAACGAACGAAACATAGCGAATAAACTCAATCGACGGGAAGCTTATACTAAAGAGGTGAAGAAACGAAATCGAAATAAAATGTTTCCTACCTTTTGTGAGTTTGATTGCAGGTGATCCCTCGGAAACGGTAGTAAGACCGTTGCATGTCGGTTCACCAGACTGAGCGAGCAAATATACCACTTTTCCTTGTTGATGTGTTTTCTCTTCGTACAAGAAACATCTGTTGTCGTGCATGTAGAAAATGCGAATGACAATTAGAATAATTCCGTGCGATATTAATAAACTGGACAAAAGAATCGTTTGAAATTGGAGGCCGTTCATACCTGTATATCTTGTCGGCGCCGGAGACACTTCTTCCCTTTAAAGTTCCAACAAGATATTTGTTACGGCCGTCGTTCCACACAGCGAGACACTGCAATTCCTCCGCTAAAAAGTAAAAGTAGTTTTATACGATTGAACAATAGAATGTACTGCCAAACTGACAATCGAGTCTGGAAAAACTCACTGTTGCTTTCACTTCTCTTTATATCCGGGCAAGCTTGATACTTGAGAAGCAATTTACTCTCATCGGTACACTTTTCTCCGAGACTGACGGGTGACACGCATTCGCCGTACCCCTTGTCGTAGGAAAAAGTGAAGGACGGTCCGCTAAATGGGCACGGTATCGGTTTCGAATTCACGCGGAACATGGAGTAAAGAGTATCGTCTGATTTTATGCTCGAACACATATCCTCCAATGTTGTTCGTGTCGTGTGACACCATCCTAACGAGAAGGAAACACAGTTCATCGGTTTCGGGCGGGGAATAAATTGGTAACCCGAACGAAAAGAAAAAAAGTTTATTCGAACTCTTACCCTCGCGAAACTGTATCACATTCTCGTGCCGATCGTTGACGATTAAACAGTAATAACAATTCTCTCCGCTGAAACTAACAAGCACCGATGTACATACATTGATCTACTATACGTACCGAGCTCCCTTACGATCACATTCTCAGATACATTAAATACTTACTAAACGATGTACGAATCAGTCGACCGTTCTACGCACGTTCTTTCACCCAGAACGGTCGCGTTTATGATAATAATCGATACCAGTTTGTCATACTGATACCACTCACCGGCCCAACTGGCTGGGTACTGGCAGGCACCTAAGACAATTTTATTTTTCACACTTTTATATTCTTCTTGCGATAAATACCTACTTTCTTTATGTTTTATTTCAGCTGAATTAACGTGTGAACGGTCAAATGAAAACAGACACGTTAAAGATTTATCGTCTCAAAACGCGTACGATGTACTAATGGTCCCATTAGTATGTATTTATTGGTGTATAACTAATAATTACGCGGCAAGATACGAGGAGCAGCCGATAACAACATCTCCGCTACATTTGATACTTTATACTTGATACTTCATACTTCATACTTCATACAACTAACAGTTATGTAATCCTTTATCACTAACAGCACAGATGATGATTTAATGCATTACAGATACGATAAAAAGATAAAATAACCAACGCAAGTTCCAGAAACAGGAATTCCCATTGGGATACGAGATGGGCGACATGCAGATCTGATAAATTTTTCTAAAATATTCGGCCGGTAATTAAAATTTCTTCAACAAACGTCAGTTTAACGCGTGCTTTTTTTTTTTCTTTCTTTTCAACGAGAACGTATAAGATGATACAATGCCCTACTCACCATTCACTGAAGGTACGTCACTTAATGATAAAATTAAAAGAATCAACATCGTCGTCGGGCCAAGATTCCCTTTTCGATACGAAAAGGTAGGTGGCAGCATCCTGAAATTAGAAATCCTCGTTACGGTACCCACGCACAAGAAAAACGTCACGACGAACATCGCTAATGTTACCATCACTTTAGTAGTTATACAGAATGATAATTCGGTTACACGCGTGTACCCGCACTCGAGGAAATGCTCCTTGATCTATTATTCGATCGAACTTCTTTCAACTATCGACAAAGAAAATTCCGATCAAGTACACCAAAGAATGATCGCGGTATTTATCGCTATCGCTTCCCGACTTCCCGGCAGCAGTAAATATCGATAACACTTTTATCGTTGTCATGGTTTTCGTTGAATTATTTGTACAAAACGTACCAGCACGCGAGTGTCATTCGATCTTCCAAGGATGAGAGGAGTAGCGTTATAGTGTGACTGAAAGAAAAAAGGCTCGTTGCGATTGCTTGTGATATCGATGAGAACGATGTAATAAAACTGCTACGTGATAACCGGCAAATGCAGCTACGTACGAAACCTGCGAGACGGATGCATTATTCAACGAAGTACACGTGTTTCTTTCCGTTTCGTTCAACCTGTGCTCCTTTTGCCCGCGAACTTTCTATACATATACAATGCTTACATACATATGTATATGTATATGTATATGTATATGTATGTACATAGATAGGATAGATATGCATCTCTGCATACTGCCCTTTCGTACCAGCGATGCGCGAATAGTCGCTGGTCTGCGCATCTGATTCTTAAAAACCAACCTCCTATTCGTTTTGTCGGGTCGCTCCTCACTTTTAAATATACGAGTCTGTTGTTAGAAACAGAGAATGAATCCGTTTAAACGTGCCGTCCTGTCCCTGAGCTTTTCTTTCGGCCTATTCGACTTTTTAAAATAGACTTCCGAACTCGGTTCAATTTATCGGAAACAAAACAATTTTACTGTCAGAACGTACGAAATGAAAAAAAATCTTCGATTCTTCGTTGTTCATCGACAACGAAAACTAACCTTTGTATATTTTAAATGTTAGACACCCAGACGAGGATGGAACGTGAAAATCCAAAAACTGTCACATAATGTTTCCAAGTGGAGAATTACGTGTATCCAAGCATAGAAGTTTTCATATAAAATGACCCGTTGGAATCGCAAAGTCGTAGAATAATCGTCACTGGCGATATTTAATCATTATTCGAAAAACACTTCCAGCGAAGAAGCTGTTGCCTGTGATGAATTTTTAAGATAACATGGTATCTTCGTACGACAGGAAATTGTTTTTCACAACTGTCACTTTTCTTGAAGCTTTGAACGTGGTCTGGTCAAGGGAACGACCTAGTAAACGCGTCTAATCTCTCCTCTAAAGCAGCACTCGTCGCATCGTACAACACAAGAGAGCAACACTTCACGTTCTCTATCATCACTGACACCACTACCATCACTGTAGAAAAAACAGACATTCGCCGGAAAAAAGCACTGAACACTCGTCCTTTGTTGATACACCGCACAATTTCTCTGAACTTTCTATTCTCGATCAAAAGCAGTCCAGACAAAAGCACTGAACACTCGTCCTTTGTTGATACACCGCACAATTTCTCTGAACTTTCTATTCTCGATGTTCCGTGTGGTCCCTCAAACGATCGAGAAAATAAACCGCACTCTAAACTTTACAGTCCATATGCTTACCATTGCTTCTTTCTGACCTAGTTTTCACTTTTAACCGTCAAGTTTTAATTAAACTCGACGAACGTTAACTCTCGTTATTCGTCTCCTTGCTTGTTCGTTCACTCGATTCACTCGATTACTCGTTTACACATTCGTATGCTTGATCGCCCTCCCATGCAAACAATGGCAGCGACAACGGCCTGAACCTGAACCGCCTGAACGGCCGACGAATGGCGACATTGGCGACCGACACGCCGCCCAACTTACTTACGTATTTATGTACATATTAACTTGTAACACGACATAACATGATAAACTGCAGAACACTCCGATGGCGACGATGCACGCCTTCATTCATTGATCGTGAGTCTGTGTGTTGTATTACAGGCTAATTCCAGTACTTTTTCTTCAAAGTGTCTATTTACTTTTATAACGTTCTTTCTTTTTTCACTGCGCCCTTTCTTCGCTGTATAACCTTTTGTTACACCTATGCATTTCACTTCAACAGATTACATTGAATCACATTCTGGGTTTTCTACGATGTTTCTCTTTTAAATCTCTCTTGTTCTAATATTCTAATAAATAAATTCGCCAAACGAATACGAATTGAGAAGATACGACTGCACAAAGAGTTTATTAGAGATAGCGCAAGCACATGCTGCTGGGGGATTAAATGAAAGTGATGAAAGTCACCAATTGCAACGAGTCCTTCCTTATGTCATGATATTTACCGTTACATGTTGCATTTTGAAGAATATAATGAAACAACACAAATTACAGTTTAAAATGTTTAATATCCCAAATTGTCTATGAATCACTACGAATGTTCTTCGAATTAATATAGGTGGCGCCGTTTTCAATTGATATATAATTCAATTCGTACCTAACCCAGATCTAACCCACGTGCAACCGGCTTCCGCTAGGGAAAAAAGTGGCGTAGGGAAATGGCCTCTTGCCATGCTCCTACCACTTGGTATTGAGAATTACTAAAATTTATGACAAATGAACATTTAGTTAACATTTATATAAGTAGTTGAAATAAATCTATCAAGTGGTGGGAGACCCTTCTCCTACGTCACTTTTTCCCCTAAAGGAAGCCGAGTTCACGGAGTTTGCACGCGAGGGTATCCTCACGAGACGAGCAAACTCGGCTTCTACTAGGGGACAAAATGACGTAGGTCATTTTATTATTTAGACTAAATTTATTTCAAGTATAGGAATAAGTGTTAAACCGAATATTAATTTGGCATAAATTTCAGTAACTCTCAAAATTAAATGGTAGGAGCCTTTTCGCCAACCTCTCATTTTCCCCTAGCGGAAGCCGAGTTTGCTCGTCATTGTGCGAAACTAGCGTAAACTAGCGGAAGCCGCAGGAAGCCGGTTCAGCCGAATTTGCTCGCAAGCACTCGCGAGGCATCGCGTGGGCAGCGAAGGGATGGTGCATATAAGGGGCAAGGGGCTTTAAGTTGTTATTATTCGAACGCGTACAAATACAATCGGGATATGTACAAATATAACCGACGTAAAGATTGGGATCATAATAAAGCCAAAGGAGATTACACTATACCTGAAAAGAATTGAGGAAAATTTTCATACAAGGAAAGGCAATTGCGTTGAATGTCGAAATCCATGTAATGTAGGACATGATAAACTCTTGAGCGCAAGTCCGTCCCAAAGCAAATGTGAGTTTTCGATCGACACTGGTTGTTCTGTAAAATACGTCGATAGGTATAAGTCAACAGTCGCAACCAGTCGCAACCAGTCGCAAAGGTTCGAACGCCGCTTGCACCACGAATGTCGTCGCCGAATATTTTCTTGATCAAGGTATGTTTTTCACCAGCTGTGACACGAATTTTTATTCGTTGATCATTTAGCGATATTCGTCTTTGCGAAGATTAGCTATACGCTATATTTATTATCTCGGACTGGGGCGCAATCGCTGCGGTAACAATCGACAACAATCCTGATTGTATGCCACGTTTCATTTGCATTCCGCTTTCTATCAGTCGTCTATCTCTTTTCACGAAAGCATAGCTTCGAACCGTAGGCTATGATAAAGGATAACAACCAGGCTAGTATTTATATACATATGTGTACATATAAAGAATATCATCGCGTAATAAGCTGCAATACGTTTCGTCTGGATCGCAATTGTCGATTTGAATTTAGGTAAAAAGCACTTAAAATAATCGGATATGATCGATAAGTGCTATGACCGTGTACGATATAAGCGTAGATTGGAATCAGTAAACACGATCATCGGATCAACACCAAGCAAGCATATACATACATAACAAGGTAGTGCATTGACAGTATCGAAACAATTTCTTGTATCTCGTACTTAGTGTTTGTTCACGTATCCGCTGCGTATCGTATTCGAGTGCGTGGTCGTATAAAGAATAACGTTTTGATTATAGTGTATCTACAGAAATGGCATTCTTTGGTTGGAAGGGAAGCAGTCGTTCTGAAAATACTGAACAACACACAGGACGCAACTTACAGGATGGCCTCTTTCAAATTGCCTCTCAAGCTTGCCACATCTTGGTGCAAGTAAGATTGTCGTCAATTTTTTTAGATGCATTGTTTAGTTAATGTTGGTAACTCTGTAATTTCACTGTCATAATCACTGGCAAACAATGGCAGAAAGATATTGTTGAATCGACAAAAGAAAATGTACATATACATATGTAGATGTAGGTATTATCATTCTTACTGACTGTATGATATTTAATTTGTAAGGTGAACAATACGCACAATGTTTCTTACGGTGGTAGCAACAATGTAAGAAATATCGCATACTCCAAATGTTCGACGAAAGATGAAGATGCGATCAATTTCGCGGATTCTACTATAAGCAGAGGATCTGTCTCTACGATTAAATCCTATTCAAAATATGCGAAAGAACGGGTCAAAGATCAAGACGTGGTTGTTTTATTACCGCACCGTAGGAACAGGACGGCGCTCATAAAGCACAAATTATCTGTACGTACGAATCTACAAGGACCCCTTATATTATATTTCATTTCATTTAGATGCTTTCGTTTCATTGTTCCGAGCAACTTTTGCATCCGTGTTACAGACAGTTTCCGAAAACGCACGGTTGGAAGTAAATCCCTCGAGTTGTAGCAGTGTCGGTGGTGTCGGTGGTGTCGGCTCCACCGCCAGCGTCAGCGCTGCCAACAACAGTACCGTTGTTCCTGATGACGATTTCGAATTATGGGATCAGTCTGGGTTTATGCTGAGAAACGACGCCGATGATTCGTTTACAAATGGAAAGTCAGTATTTGTTTGGGAAAAATGATTTCCAGTGAATGAGTCTACAGAATAGGGAGATTCGAGAAAAGAGCGATATATTAATTTAGTGACTCGATTGTTTGTGCATGACGACGATAGATGGGGAGGAGCACAAGGATGGTGTAGACCCAGTTGCATTCCGATCACAGTCATCTTAATTTTGATAGTGTTGGTCGTTTTGTTACCTTTGTTGGATCATGCCGCGGACAAGTATGCGTCAAACAGTACTAAATTTGGTTTTGATTCAAGTTGCATGGACGGGTGCAATTTATCGTTCGTAGAAAGTTTACCGGTTGGCATGAACTACACGGACGACAATGTGTTTCTTCAAAGTACGTACAATTCTTGGGTGGAATTGATATCATTGGCGCACGAAAAGATCGAGATAGCTTCGCTTTATTGGACTTTGAGGAGGGAAGATGTATATCCGGACGATAGCGCGAAACAGGTAATTAAAAGAACGAC